TCCACTGACACACCTAAGAAATGTGGGTTGGAACAGGACTGGTTGGGAACCTGAAGGGATGCCCTGGCTGGGTTGGCATTCCCACTGGGTGTGAGCAAGAGCTGGACTGAGGGCAGCAGGCTGGGCTGGATGTGACTACAACCTCCCTCGGTGCAGCTCAAACCCAGTGTCTTGTGAATACCCACCCAGGGATCAAACTCCAGGCTGCTGTTCTTTGACCAGGTTCCCAAGAGACCCAACACCAAATGTCAACCTAGGACTAAGCCACGGTCCCAGGACCATGTGCTCCTTTTACAGCTACCCTTGACGATCCTTTGACTTTCAGGACTCAGTTGGCCTTAGTAGTTCTAAATTTAGTGTCCTAAATTTAATGTTGTATGGGCTCCGCTGTCACAGAGAAGGACCCATAAAATGTCTCTAAGAAGAAACTGCAATGTGACGCTGATCTCAAACACATTACCTATCTCAGGGTTTCCAGCCTTTGTTATAACCCCTACTTTCCAATAGCTATTTTGTATATTTTTGGTTAACTTTTTTTTAAAAAAAAGATTTTTTTATTTTTATTACAAAGGCAGATATACAGAGAAGAGGAGAGACAGAGAGCAAGATCCTCTGTCCGATGGTTCACCACCCCACCCCCACCCCCCAAGCGGCCGCAACGGCTGGAGCTGAGCCCATCCATAACCAGGAGCCCAGAAACTGTTCCAAGTTTCCCACATGCGTGCAGGGGCCCAAGGCTTTGGGCCATCCTCGACTGCTTTCCCAGGCCACAAGCAGGGAGCTGGATGGGAAGTGGGGCTGCTGGGATTAGAACTGGCACCCATATGGGATCCTGGCTAGTTCACGGTGAGGATTTTAGCCACTAAGCTATCATGCTGGGCCCCTAGCTAATGTTTATACCATCAGTAAGCAGACAATTCTAATCTTAGCTATCTGCAGATTCACCTTTGCCTAATTGCAATAAATACTACAAATAATATCATAGTCATCCTCCCAAAAAAGGATTATCATTAGCAGCCAGAAAGCAAGAAAAGAGGTACAGCTCCTCAGCATGAAGCTTGGAAACAAAAGTTCATGGTATTGGTAGTTGGGGCTTTCCACAAACAGAAGGAACGAGACTTCAGATGCTGTGTTTCTTTCTCAACCATCAAGGAAAGCTTCAGATGGGGAGTAAAATGAGCTGAGCAATTATCCTTATCCTTTTCTGATGGGGCCAGGGGAGGAGACAGCATGAGTAGGTGTAACGGAAATGGTTTACCGGAGAGAGAGGAAAGGGCTCCAGGCATGAAAAGGGGAAGTGATCTCAAATGTGAGAGAAGCTTTTCTTTGCAGCAGTAACTGATCCTGACGGCCTGCCCTAAGGCCTGGGTTAGAGACTTCAGTAAAACCTCGGAACAAAAGCAGAGGAGGCACCTGTCATGAGACTCAGATGACCTCTCGCCTTTCCTTTATCTTCCAATCTTGGACTGGGAGGCAAAACGCAGAGCTTACTTTCAAGCCATGGCTGCATAGAGAAAAAGAAACAGATCCTAGATGTAATAGGAATGGAATCAACTAGAATCCTTTTAATAGACACCTGGCACCTATGATTTTTTCTTAATAAATATGATAATATGCTATGCAGGGACAAAAGAGGACTGGATTACTATATTAAAAGTAGTCCAATAATATAAATGAAAAACAGCAAAAGAAAGGAAGAGACAGATATTCTCAATTACACAGTACAGTACCTGCAAAGCCCTTAGGAACACTACTTAATAAAGAAATCAAGGAGATGAATCAAAAATTAAAAACCAACAATGAAAATGTCACAGTAACATAATTAATTACATTAATTCATTTAAATATAGAACAAAATTCAGACCTCTTTGGAAATGGGAACTATAACTCTAGCTCTTGACAATGAAGAGGATCCACATGAAAACATGAGAGAGAAGGAAGTGAGAGAGATTCTGAGTGTACTGCAAAAATTGTGTGGGCAACTGAATTAGAAGACAGGCTTGGTGCAAAAAAAAAAGGATATGGAAAGCTGGCTTTTGGCACAGTGGATTCCTGCATCCCACATCAGAACTTGTGGGTTTGAATTCCAGCTCTGCTTTGGACCCCTGCTGATGAGTAGCCTCCCTGGCACCAAGAGATGGCTCCAGTACTTGAGTCCTTGTTGCCCACATGGGACAAGTGCATTGGACTGCAAGCTCTCATCTTCAGCCAGGCTCATCTTTAGCTGTTGGGAGCAACTGGAAGATGGCAAGAAAAGGGAAATTTCTCCCCCCCATTGTGTATGTATGTGTCTTTGTGTCTTTCACATAAATAAAAATACCAAAATACATGAACTGGAAAGGTCTTCAAAAACTCTGTGGAAGTGTATATTACAAAATCACTATGCATAAACTTTCTAAAGCACTCCCATAGGAAAGTAAATTTTCTTTTTGTAAACAGCAAGGAGCCCTATTGATGCTGAAGAACAAAAATAGATCCCTAAACATAATGAATTCAGCTCTGGTATTATGTAATAATTTTAACTTTAAAAGGATAATCAAGTTGAAATATGAGATGAATAAACATCTAAAGTTCAGCCATCCTTTAATTTCTTTATCTTCTGCTTAATTGTATTTGAAGATTAAAATAGCACTTCTAGGAGGATAACACTGACATATCTGTATACCATTTGAGATATCACTCTACCTCCATACCTATCTTCTATAGTATTCAGATTGATAATGTTCTTTTATGTAAATAGTGGTTATTTCTGAGTAGTATGATATTTCTATTTTTTTTTCTGCTTAAATTAATGTCAATGAACAAGATTAACAGTTGTACTCACACAGTTCTAGTTTCTAAGCGTGCTTTGGGGTTACAGTGACTCTTCATTTATTGCCTTTCCTTAAGAGTTTCCCTGTCAACTTGAAGCTGGGCTAAGTGATGTGAGTATGGCACGATCCACGACCCCTCCCAGGAGCATTCCTGCCCAGTAGGCACGGATCACAGAACTAGCCTTCTTAGACACAAAAGAGAAGGGCTCCTTTTTTTGCTGCTTATGCACGAGTGAACCCTCCCACGCAGTGCAAGGTACAGGTGGAAGACAGAATGCAATGGGATCCAGGCCTCAACAGACCCACCCCATCTGTGTGTGGGTGCAGCAGATCCATCCTGTGTGTGTGTGATGTTAGGGCTCCCCCATTAGTGATGAGGAGGACTGGCCAATAGCCGTACTTTTCTAAGAGCCCTTGCAGTCAATGATTTTTCGTTTTTTTGCATTAGTATAAACATAAACCCATTTTTTCCCACAAAAATATTTGAAATGCAAATTTATAGAGAGGACACACACACACACACACACACACACACACACACACACAGAATCTTCCATCTGTTGGCTCACTTCCCAGATGGCTCCAATGGCCAGGGTTGGACTGGTCCAAAGCTGGGAGCCAGGAACTTTTTCTGGATCTTCAACATAGTTGCAGGGGGCCCAAAGGCTTGGACCATCTTTGGCTGCTTTCCCAGGCCATTAGGAGTTAGACAGGAAGTGGAGCAGCAGACACTAGCAGGGGCCATATAGGACGCTGGTACTGCAACTAGAGGCTTAACCTGCTACAACTCAGTGCCCATCCCATCCCAAGAATATTTTAGCTATCTTGTATATATGAAACATTTCTGGCTTCCAGGAGTTGGAGGCTTAACAAAGAAGCCTGAGAAATACAAATGCTCATTGGATTAGTTCATACTGCACACTTTTATTAAAATGTCATGCAGTACTTCTTACTGAAGTACAATGATTATCAATCAAAATTTGCAAGAGGTTTAAGGAGATGGAAATACCAGCGAGCATGATTTGATCAGACGTTGGGTATGTGTATCAAATTATTCTGCTGAACTCCCCCCCACACACACACATGCACAGTTGGAATAATTATAATTTGTTCAAAAAGTGAACACAAAGCAAACCAGTGGCAGTTCACGGGGCGCTGTGAGACCTGAAAGGAGACTTGAATCCATGTGGGGTGGGGGCGGAGGTGGGAGGGTATAAATTATTCATCACGAAGTACATGGAGTTAGTTTTCCCGAAAACTCAGCAAGACAATCCAGGTTCAGCCAGGCAGCTCCTACTCCGACCCCAACACCGGCTTGTCCATTCCCCAGGCCCTCTGCTGCTGTCTGCAGTGGTTTTTCAAGTAACAGCCTCCGTGGAAACTGTCTTCATAATGACAGCCCTTCCACCCACGCCATCCTACAGACCTAGGCTGGAGCCTCAGGCCCCCATCAGCTCCCCGTACAGGGACGGCCTGGAGACCACCCAGCATCTCCCCAAGTCAGTCTAGATTTGGATAAAAAAAAAAAAAGTACCATGATGCCTCATGGTCTTTGGGAAATCCTTGAACCTCACGAAAGTTAGCTCACCTGCCCAGCTAGAAACTCTGACACCAGTGCTTCCCAGAAGAAAGGGAAATGGAAGGAAAAGGGGGACCAGGACGCAGGTGTAGACCCAGCTCATGTAGTTTCATTCCTTGTGAGGCTTTGAGTTTGCTGGGCATGACTACAATGCCCATCTTCTTCAGGGAACCCGGAGCTTGTGGTGGCAGTTCAAGTGCACAAACATGAACTTCATATGAACCACCTTTTGTATCTTTCCTTACGTCTCTCAGCTTCCAGTTCAGCCAAAAACTAGCCTTTGACTAGTTAAAATCCCTTTTCCTTTTCGTTTAGGGCGTCATGGGAATCACTCAGTACTTCAAAGGGATATGGTGAGGGAGAGATTTTTACCCAGCAGAGCGCACCTGGGGTTCAGCCAAAGCAAAGGCGGCGAGTCCCAGGCGCTGCACCCCAAGAGGCGGGTGGTGGTTGCAGGGTTGCAAGCAGGGAGCCCCCCAGGCTGGCAGGGAGCCCCCCAGGCTGGCAGCTCGGCGGGAGGAGCTCGGCCCTAGGGCCCGGAAGGGGGCGTCCGCGAGCCTCACTGCAGCATCCCGGCGGCCTCGGCCAGGCTCGGCTCGCGTCCTGCCGCAGTCCCTCGGCTGCTAGCCGGAGCGAGCGCCAGGGCGGAGACCCCCGCCAGGCCCCCAGGCACTTGCTGCACCGAGGGCTCCCACTCGTGATCGCAACCCGGTAGCTTCGAAGTGCCAGCCGCAGCCTAAGGGGGCTGCTTAGCGTGGGAGGGCGTCGCGGTCTCCGGGGACCCAGTCCGAACTTGCAGGGGACGGCGGCTCTTGTGGCCTGGAGAGTGTGAACAGGTGAGTGCCACGCACGTGCCCAGGTGGCTGTTTCCGGACAGCTCCTGCAGACCCAGAGCCAGCGCCGGAGCAGTCGGCCGCTTGGACAGTCCTGCAGGTCAGGGGGTCCTCTCTGGACCGCTTGGGGGTTCACGGAGAAGGGGACCGGGTGGGTGGGGGTGCGCGCCGGAGCCCAGTCTGCAAAGCGCTCTTGGGCGTGAATGCCCTTCTGACTTGGTCTGGCTGCTGGCAACTGGCCCTTGGTCCACAAAGGGCTTGTTTATCCCCCCCTCGAGGTACCTGTTGATTTCCCAGTGACGCTGTAGTCCAGGGCGTTGTACGGCGGTTATCCTTGTCGCAGTGAGAGCTGCAATTGTGATGAACTGAGGGCAAATTCCTGCCCCTGAGACCGGGAAAACTTGATTTCAGAGCCAGAGAGGGGCTGCCCCCAAAGAGAGGAGCAGCTGATTCCCACGGCCGGACTGAGTCTTTTCTTCTCTAAACAGCTGCATTGTATATTGATGAGATCGTAGAAACCACAAGTTGGGAAAAATAACTATCTTATAAAGATGTTTACTGCCTTCTCACGCCTGCCCCCTCCCCTCCTCAACTTCCAACCTGGAGGAAGCAGAAAGCATGGATCTCTTAACCATCATCTTGGGAACGATTTGTCGATAAATAAATAAATAAATATAAGATGATTGGCGGTCGAAGTGCCAGGGGTCTCCAACAATGTCAGCTCCTCAAGGGGGATGACTTTGGCTTGTGCATGTTTGGTGTGAGTGGATCAATGAATGCATGGGCAACAATGCAGGATTTGGAGGTTAGCTTTTCCTGCTCTTAAAGTCGTCCTTTATGTCTAAGGGAGGAAATGATGACACCGTTTAAGTCTAAACAGCTGTGATTTTATCTTTAGAAATGGTAGGAGTTGAGAAGTTTTCATCCTTCCAAAGCATTGTCCACTTCCAAGGTGACCACCAACTTGTAGCCCCTAGCTGGACTGTCTCTGTGCAACCTGCGAGCGGATGGATGTTTCTTAGAGCTGTAAATGGAGGGCTGCAGATTGTGAATGAGTTCAGACAACAGGTTACTTATTACAACAGTGTACAAATTTATCTTTGTTTTCCATCTTGTCAGATGTAACTTTTTCACGTTTTCATGTGAGAAATAACATGGTGAGGAACCTGCGTCTACTTTGTATCGTGAGTGATTTTTCTAAACACAAAGTTGACAATAACCAGCTGTATCTTTATTAGGTTGTACATGGAATAAAGTCCACATCATTTGTCTTATGTGAAATTCCTACCCCTTGGAAGCCACTTGGGAATTACTGAAGTATTTGACTTGTTTTTGTAAATATGACGGTTGATGGCTAGTTTCATGAAGCATTAATCAGACAGATAATTACTCAGATGTCATATGCATGGGAAAGAGATCATTGTTTACCCCACCTCCTGACATTTGCATGTTCTAAGTTTCAAACAAATGCTTGCCAGCTACTCCTCCCAATTAGAATTGATAGTGTTAACATCTTGGGGGTATGCTGTGCTTCTGTAATGAACCACTGAACCTGAGACAGTAGGGCCTTTTCTGAATGAATGCAAATGCAATGACAAGAAAGGAAATCTTTTTATTGTTAGCCAAAAACCATGGACTGGGACAAATTGCAGATGTTTACGTTTCTGAGTTTTGTGCTATTAATAATTGCTAAGAAAGTTTTTTTTTTTCATGTTTGAGAACAAAATAAACAATCACTAATGTGACTGTTGACCTTTTTTTGGAAGCTCCAGCACTGTGCACACCAGTAGATACATGAATTGCTAAGTCCAGGTTGATGGTTTGCAAACATGGGAAAATATCCCATGTTTACACTCTAGTAGAAATATGTTTTCAGAAGGATTTTTGCCTTTTTCTTTTCCTCTTGGGAAGCATTTTTTTAAAAAAAAATTGTGGATGAAAACAATGCTAGCATGTTAACATGTTTTTGAAAACAAATTTGTGTTTCAAAGATGCCTTTGCAGCGTGGAAAGGTGGATGATTTGTGAGGACTGAAGGAATTAGCTTCAGCATGGCTAAACACGAAGTCTTGTATTTTAAAGCATTCATGGCAGAAATTCAGAACGGAGGCATCTACAGTTGATATACAAGAAAGAAACTCTTGTGAATCTGAGCTGTAATATAGACACACCGTGCAGATAAGGGACAAAGACTCAGGGAATTTTGTGTGTCAGTTTGTAGGGTCCTATCTCAAGTAGTAGATGCAGTGGCTACCACATTTTTGAAGCTGTGGAAGTGGTGGGTGTCAGAGCAGAGCACTGCCCTTCTAATAGGCTATTGAAGCCCAGATAATAGGCATACAGATAAGCACGTGTATGCCTCAGGAGCAGGTGAACTTGCCACCAGGCTTCATTTTCTGGCAGATGAAGGCCTGTGGTGGGGGAAAGCTTCCTCGGAGGTGTAGACCACATGAGAAGTCCTGAGTATAGAAAAGAGCAGCCTGGTTTTCAGTTATATCATGCAGGAAAAAAAAAAAATCAGAACAAATGAGTAGAGGTCACAGGGAAGCAGATTATAGCTCCATCTAAGAAAACGGTTCTCTTAATCAAGGATGGCTGACTCGAGATGAAAGAGCTTTCAGGGGCAATGAACTTGCCTCACAGACCTGGAAGTGGAAGTGGAGTCCCTGGCTCAGGACTATGGGCTAGCCATCAGGAAGGACCCTCTCTTATAAATTCATATTTTTAACATTTTTATCTATTTCTCTTATTTGAAGGGAAGAGAGATACATTCGCACACACCAGTAGAAGGGTATTCTAATTTACTTGGGGCCATTGTAGAAGAAAAATCAAAACTCATAGTATGACATTTGCTTTTTTTTTTTTGAATACCAGGGCATTGTCCCCATCAAAATATTAAAATATGATCTGAATATTATATGCCAGTTCCTGAAATGCATGTATCTGTCACGCAACCTGCTCATGTCATCTAACTTTGGCTATTCTAAAATTTGACCTTGAATGGTGGACTGGAATTATGTTGCAGTGGAGTAGACTAAAATGGATGGATATCTTATTCTATCCAAAGGAGAATAAAGTTTGAAGGCGACTTTCCTTATTGCTTTTGTCTGTGCAGCAAGTGGTTACAAACACATGGTAAATGCACCTATCCACATATTTCAGCCATTTATGAGGAATTACCTTCCTGAAATAATGCCTTCACAAAGAATTCTTAAACAAGGGGGCTGGCATGGTGGCTCAACTAATCCTCCTCCTTTGACTCTGGCATCCCATGTGGGCTCTGGTTCTAGTCCCAGCTGCTCCAATTCTGATCCAGCTCTCTGCTTATGGCCTGGAAAAACGACAGAGGATGACTCGAGTTCTTGGACCCCGGACCCGCCTGGGAGATGTGTAAGAAGCTCCTGGCTCCTGACTTTGGATCGGCTTAGATCTGGCTGCTGTGGCCATTGTGGAGTGAGCCAGGAGATGAAAGATCTGTGTATGTGTGTCTGAAAAATCCACCTTTCAAATAAAATAAATAAATCTTCTTTTAAAGAAATTATTTAAGAAAATTCTTAAAGATGCCCAGGTTTTAGAATGACATGGATCTGAAATCAAGTGCTGAATCATGCCATCAGCTGAGTAGTTACAATAAGTTACTACACTTCTAGGACTGAATCTCTCATAGGGTGGCAATAAAGATCAAATTGGAAGTTGTTAAGAAAGTGAATGGCATATGCTTATTTCATACAAATATGAAATAATTTGTTTTTGTTTTGTTTTCTTAGCCACTTACAGATTCCCAAATCTCTTTCATTTAAGGATTGTGGGCCCTTCCAGCATTGACAGTGATATGGTGAACTCAAACGCTGGGACCTGAAAGATCTGCTCAGCTCTTCCGTTTACCAACAGAAACTTGTCCAGCAGCACCCGTCATGGCTAAAAGTGCAGAGGTCAAACTGGCGCTGTTTGGGAGAGCAGGAGTGGGCAAGTCAGGTAAGCACCCACTGTGGCTGCAAGGGCTGCAAGGTGTGTGTTTCTTTGTTGCTGCTACCGGAGTCTGGGCAGGCAAATGTCTGACACCCATATTCCCTTTTCCATGAAATCTTTTTCTCTCTGTCTACAACTTCTCTTGTGCATAACCAAATGCATATTTATGATTCATTAGCTTTGCTAATGAAATGTAAGGCAATGGACACAACATACATCCTGGCATTCTGAGGAAGCATATTAATTAACTTCAAGTAAATGTGATTGTGAACATTTTAGAATATGCGTGCTCTTTTCTCTCTGTATGGGATCCTGATGACCAATTTTATGTCTCTTTTGCTTTGATATTTTCAGCAAACAGCCTAATGTCCAGCATATATTTGTTGTTTCATAAATGCTTGTTGACATATGTTTATCAGAAACAATTGTATTGTTGTCCAACACTTTCATAAACACTGAAGACTATTCAAAATGTGGAAGCATACACCTTCTAACCAGACAACCATGGTCAGTGCTTCTGCGGGTGAATTCTAATGAACAAATTCTGGTTATGTATTTCTGAGAATTTTTAAGTTGATTATCTGAGATGTCTGCAGACCTGTAAGATGAGGGGAAAAGTAGAAAATTTCCTAATAACCAATGGGGAGAAACACAATTACATTTTAGATTCAATAAATCATGAAGTGACTGTTGCTCAGACAGCATGGAGACATGGTTTTTCAGATAATATTGCCTTTGTCCCCTATTTGAGAAAGACTAAATTGATTTTCACACAGAAACTTCATTCTCAGGAAATCTGGTGATTCTTTTTCATACGGAACTTTTGGTTCTCAACAACAATTAATGCATGCATGTTTCTAGGGAGAGCCATTTGGAAATAAACCAGATTATTCCACATAACAGGTAACCATCTAATCTTCAGCAAACAAACATTAGTAGTTCGAATTCAGTGACCAACCTTTGTTGTTTTCAATAGTAATATTCCCTATTCTAAGACTCTCTCTCTCATTTTTCCCCATTTTAACTTTTTCAAGAGTACTGGTTTATGCCACCACACTTCTCTTATTTGCTGCTTACTTTTGCCTCTGACAGAAACAAGACTAAGACTCTGCCAGCCTTCCTAAGATTGAAAATAGCTAAACTTCTCCCTGTTAATCCCCTCAATGTGTCCTAATGGTGTGAGAGCCTCATTGCTCTGGCTGCATCCAGAGAATGAGGAAAACTATGGCAGAAAGTGCAGATTGAAAGGAAGGAAATATATAGGGAGGCCCCTGCTGCCCATTAAAGCTTGCCTGGGTCTTTGTGGTCCAAAGGCTACAGCAGGAACTAATCCTTTTACGTTCATTTGAAACTTACCGTAAGTAACAAGGAAGGGAAACTTTCTTGAACCTTGTATAATTTATCCAACTCTACATGACTTAAAAAGTGAACCCTAACATTGAAACTCAACTGAGAGAACTATTCAGGTGTATGCACAGCCATCACTCTGTAGGCCATACAGTCAGCCCATGGTGCATGGAAGATATTCAAAATATCGTGTTTGTACTGAACATCAGTGCATTTTTCTTGCCATTATTTCATAAACGATGTGGTATAACAACTAATTAAGCTGTATTTAAATTACATTAGATATTGTGAGTAATCTGGGGATGATTTCAAGAACAGAGGAGGCTGCAAGTCCTACCCAGTTTTATATAAGCAATTTGAGCATCTTCAGATTCCGTGAGAATCTGAAGAGAAAGGGGTACTGCAACAGGAGTCTGAGCTTTGAGCTCCAAATTATCTCCGTTGTCTTTTGCATTTTTCCTCCTGACAACTTTCCTTCAGCATTTTCTTTTTGGTCCACTAAGACATCTATAGATTTTTAAAAATACATATTTATTTATATTGCATGGGCAGATATAAAGAAAGAAAGATCTTCCGTTCACTGGTTTGTTCCCCATGTGGCCACAATGGCTGGAACTAAGCTGTTCAGGAGCCATGCGCTTCATCTGGGTCTCCTATGTGCACACAGCATCCCAAGGCACTGTGCCATCCTCCACTGCTTTCCCAGGCCACAAGCAGGGAACTGGAAGGGAAATGGAGCAGCTGGGACACAAACCATTGCCCATATAGGATCCTGGTGCATGCAAGAAGAGGATTTATCCACTAGGATATCGCACTGGGCCCAAAACAGATAGATGATAGATGAAGATAAACAGAAACAGATCAGATAGAAAGATAGAGATCTTCCAACCCATCGATTTCTTCCTCACACGTCTTCACCAGCTGAAGCTATGTAAGAAGCCGAGCTCAACCAAGGTCTCCCACATCAGTGGCAGATAATGTAGTACTTGAGCCATCACCATTCACTCCATGGTACATATTAGAGGAAGCTGGATTTGGGAACAAAGCTGGAACTAGAATCCAGGAGCTGCCATGTGGGATGTGGGCACCTCAAGAGGCATCTTATCTGTGAGACCAAAGGCTTTATTCTTCACTAAAATCCCCAAGGCTCCCAGCCAGCTGCCTTCAGGGGCTGCTCAGACTTACAGGATTCTACTAAGGATTCTTTGGATCTTCTCGCTTGTCACACTCTCCCCACAGGTGTTGCTGTCACCCAGAGCTAGGAACAACACTCTAACCTAAAGAATAAGTCCTGCTATCCTGGGTTTTATTTTATGTAAAACCGGGAGGTTGAAGTTGCTTACTGAGGCCCTTATCAACTCTACAATCCTACGGTTCTTGATTAATGAGTCTCCTCTGAACTTGTACCCCTACCCATCTTGTGCACATTCCACCTTTTGTGTTTCGTTTCATTGAGGTGAAAGTGGCACTGATACAGACGTTTAACAATTGCTTTTTTGTCTATTACTTAGAAGCAGACTTGCTTTCCTAGCTCAATAGTAGCCTATTTCCTGAGACCTGTAACCACATCTCACGGTTAAAAAGTAGTCCCAGTTTGCTGCAAGCATGGGAGACAGTTTTGAGACTTTTCCCACAGTTAAGTGAAAGCAACGACAGCAATTTCAAATCTATCAATTACAGGAGTCCACTACAGCAATAGCAACTTCATACTTAATCTTTTATTAATATGGTTACGTGATGCCCCCGCCTAGCCATTGGACCACACATTCACCTCGCTGCTTTAGAGACTAAATCAATCTTATGAGTAATGTTTGCTTTTTCGAGTTTGCAGGAAATTTGACTTTCTGGAATGTTATTTCAGTTTCTCACTTATTCAAATGCCTCCTGAGAGTAGCCACAATCTTCCCATGGACTCGCAGCCTCTAATTTCTCTCTGAACACTCACTAGGGAAAGTACCCATCAGGGAACCAGCTTGACGTTGTAGACTGGAAGGAAGTGAGCATCTCTGAAATGTTTTGGGTCTTTTGTGAATGTCTTCAGACACTTTCTGCCCCCACTGCTTGGCCCTACAACTAACAGTTTTGGAGTCTAGGGGTACGTATTTTGTTCATTTGCTAATAGAAAGTGGAGATCAGAGCGTGAGCTATAGAATCATACTGTAATGTTTTCATTTCAATTCTACCCTTACTAATTGTGTGCAGTTGGCAACTTGAGCAAGTTACTTAACCGCTCAATGTCTGCAACGGAGAAAGCTACTATCTCAGCTGTTACTAAGGCTAAATGAGTTATGTTTTAAAAGCACAACCGACACCAAGCTAAACACTGAAATATGAGCTTATATTATTATAATTGTCAGCTTAGGCTTATTGCAAGTTGAAGCTGTTTGGTCAAGATTAAATATACCTACATGCCAGCGGATATTCTGATGTTCACTGTAAGAAAGTTTATAAATAAAAACTCTCTAACCCTACTCGGTACAGACATACACACACACACATATGCACACCCACACACATGCACACACACACACACACATACTTTGTCTGGTTTTCTTTCTTTAACTCAAAGTCTGGTTAACGTCAATTATAGCTTGACAACTGATAATCATAACAATACTTCCTGTAGCTTATATTTAATCTTTTTAAACCAGACAGAAATATGTTAGTACCACCAAAAAATTAACACCCTTAAATTTGAAAATGCTTCTGGTATGCAGTAGGTGGGTGTGTAAGCCTAAGTAACAGAGAGGTCTCTATGTTTAAGAGAGCCCATAACATTGAGCAGCACTTTGGGGTTGACAGATTACCACAGAAGTGTCAACACGAGCAAAAATTAATAGTTGACTAATTATTAGGGATCACAGATAAATCATGTGACAGCTGTGTATGTTGTGTGTATATATGTATGTGAGTAATATGCTTATGATAGTATTCACTTGACCTGTTCTTTGGGGGGAAGATTCTTCCTTCTTCCTTCTGTCTATCCTTATGTGAGCTTGCTGAATTTGGGACGGCATGGCGAGCACTGGAGATCGTTTGTAAAATGCAGGATCATGGTTTCCCAGCCCCTTCTACCTCCTCCCACCCTAGCAAGGTAAACATTTACAGTAACTGGTTAAGAACGAAGCACTAATAGTATGCCCTGTGAGGCACAGATTTCTTTCATTGCGTGCATCTGCCTGTATTTTGACAATCTCTGTGCAATTAAAGCATTAAGATCATGCCAATAAACCTAGAAGGTAGGTAGGTACACATTTTATTTACATGTGTCCTGTATTCATATTTTTTTCAGATTGATAGTAAATTTTGAATTTAGTTTCACAGTCAACAGTCTCCTTGTGGAATTAAAAGATTATGTGTAGCACAGCTAAACATATCTTGAAAATCTAGTCTTAGAATTAATTGAGTAATGCTGTCTATTCATTAAAAAAAAAAAGATTCACTCATCCATGAAAGCTCAAGTTCACAGACTTGGATTATTGGGCTCTGAATTAAGTGCTAAATGTTAACAAACCAACGGTATGTTTCTCCTTGGTACAAAGAAAAAAGTGATGTGATTTTTCCTCTTCCTTCTTGTCCTTTTTGTTGTTATTATTGTTTTTGCCTACAAACGGCCACAACGGCCAGAGCTGAGATGATCTGAAGCCAGGAGTCAGGAG